ATAGTATTGCAGGTCTGACCAATAAAATATAAAAAAACTACAGGCAAAATAAAATCAACATTTTTAAGTGAGCCTGAGACCATCATTTTAAAAACTACATGCTCTGGAGTTGCTACAATTATATTTATTAGTGCCTCCCAATTGACATCTGCCCAACCATCTAAAAGAAATGTCATAATATTAGCCTGTAGTACTTTATCTTCAACTTCTTGTTGGATTCTAGCATATTCAGTATACTTAAAATTTTGCATAGGGTAATTTTCTGGTTAAGTAGACAGTTAGCGGACACTTTATAGTTATTGGACAATTAACATTAATACTGTAAAAACAAGAGTTCCATAAATAAGTGGTTACCTTAAAGTCAAATCATTAGATGACGCTGTATACAATTATAAATATCTCAGTCGGTAATGATATAAAACTACTTTATTTTTGGTCCAATATAGGACAAAAAGTTCGCACGTTACTTTGGTGGTAATATTTTTGTTTTTTTTTTGGTTAAGAACAGGGCTATGTTTATATTACATTATAAAATATTTCTAGAAAGTGTACAGATCAGTGTGTGGTATAAATGTGTTCCTCATGGTTTAAACATTGTCACTTTAATGCGTTTTAATTTTAATTCTGAAAACAAACGGTAAAATGGCCAGTGTCCAATTACTGGTTGGTAAAAAATGTAAATTTCTCTTATTGGACATATTATGTTTAATATCACACTCTATTTGTATCCCGGACATTTACCAGCCAATTCTTATGTAAAATTGTCCCCTGAATCCGAAAAGACTGTCAAAAACTATAAAAGTTAAGCAGTTTTTGAGATGTAGTCAATTACATATTATATGTAAAATTGATTATATTTCAAAAACTGTTCTACTTTTTAAACTTTTGGCGACATTTTCGGATTCAGCGAATAATATTTCATGGGCATTGATTGCTAAATGTCCTGGATACAAATTGCTGTTGACGAGAATTATTAGTGGCTGCTTTTTCGCTATGACATTTTTGACTAATTAATTTTTAGACAGTAAGTAATATAGTGATTTCTTCGTCACGGGGCAGTGATTTAAATACAGTGCATGATAGAGAACATAAAAAACTAATGGCAACAAAACTAATAAATTCGGAAAATACTTTTAAAAAAAATTTCTAAAAAGTGTACAGATTAGTGTGTGGTATAAATGTTCCTCATGGTTTAAACATTGTCACTTTAATGCGTTTTAATTTTAATTCTGAAAACAAACGGTAAAATGGCCAGTGTCCAATTACTGGTTGGTAAAAAATGTAAATTTCTATTATTGGACATATTATGTTTAATATCACACTCTATTTGTATCCCGGACATTTACCAGCCAATTCTTATGTAAAATTGTCCCCTGAATCCGAAAAGACTGTCAAAAACTATAAAAGTTAAGCAGTTTTTGAGATGTAGTCAATTACATATTATATGTAAAATTGATTATATTTCAAAAACTGTTCTACTTTTATAACTTTTGGCGACATTTTCGGATTCAGCGAATAATATTTCATGGGCATTGATTGCTAAATGTCCTGGATACAAATTGCTGTTGACGAGAATTATTAGTGGCTGCTTTTTCGCTATGACATTTTTGACTAATTAATTTTTAGACAGTAAGTAATATAGTGATTTCTTCGTCACGGGGCAGTGATTTAAATACAGTGCATGATAGAGAACATAAAAAACTAATGGCAACAAAACTAATAAATTCGGAAAATACTTTTAAAAAAAATTTCTAAAAAGTGTACAGATTAGTGTGTGGTATAAATGTTCCTCATGGTTTAAACATTGTCACTTTAATGCGTTTTAATTTTAATTCTGAAAACAAACGGTAAAATGGCCAGTGTCCAATTACTGGTTGGTAAAAAATGTAAATTTCTATTATTGGACATATTATGTTTAATATCACACTCTATTTGTATCCCGGACATTTACCAGCCAATTCTTATGTAAAATTGTCCCCTGAATCCGAAAAGACTGTCAAAAACTATAAAAGTTAAGCAGTTTTTGAGATGTAGTCAATTACATATTATATGTAAAATTGATTATATTTCAAAAACTGTTCTACTTTTATAACTTTTGGCGACATTTTCGGATTCAGCGAATAATATTTCATGGGCATTGATTGCTAAATGTCCTGGATACAAATTGCTGTTGACGAGAATTATTAGTGGCTGCTTTTTCGCTATGACATTTTTGACTAATTAATTTTTAGACAGTAAGTAATATAGTGATTTCTTCGTCACGGGGCAGTGATTTAAATACAGTGCATGATAGAGAACATAAAAAACTAATGGCAACAAAACTAATAAATTCGGAAAATACTTTTAAAAAAAATTTCTAAAAAGTGTACAGATTAGTGTGTGGTATAAATGTTCCTCATGGTTTAAACATTGTCACTTTAATGCGTTTTAATTTTAATTCTGAAAACAAACGGTAAAATGGCCAGTGTCCAATTACTGGTTGGTAAAAAATGTAAATTTCTATTATTGGACATATGTTCAATATCCCACTCTGTTTGAATCCCGGACATTTACCAGCCAATTCTTATGTAAAATTGTCCCCTGAATCCGAAAAGACTGTCAAAAACTATAAAAGTTAAGCAGTTTTTGGGATATAGTCAATTCCATATTATATGTAAAATTGATTATATTTCAAAAACTGTTCTACTTTTATAACTTTTGACGACATTTTCGGATTCAGCGAATAATATTTCATGGGCAATGACTGCTAAATGTCCTGGATACAAATTGCTGTTGATGAGAATTATTAGTGGCTGCTTTTTCGCTATGACATTTTTGACTAATATAGTGATTTCTTCGTCACAGGACATATTGCAAAATAACAGTGATTTAAATACAGTGCATGATAGAGAACATAAAAAACGAATGGCAACAAAATTAATAAATTCGGAAAATACTTTTAACATACCACCCGAAAAAATATTATATATATTATATAATATAAATCATCCTGTTCCGGCCTAAACATTATAAATGCTTCACAAACTAGAGATACCACGTGGTACACTTAATGATATTTTTGCAACAAACTATTTCAGAAGTCAGACCAAGGAATTAGTAGTTACCTTCAGAATCCAGAAAAGGGGTGAAGAATCCGAGAAAGAAATATATAAATTATATGATATTTACAAAAACTAAATAAAAAAATTTACCTAAAACAGCAATTTATCTTTAAAAAAATATTTAACAATTTATGTTATTTGATGTAAAGTTGTTATGTTTATATAAAAAATGTATGACCAATAATTGTGGGGAACAAAGAAACTTTTTTATGTTTGACAATTTTAGTTGCATTAATGACATATTTTTTTACTGAACTTGCATGGCCTTTTTTTGCACTACTTTGTAATAATTCCAAATATAACATTTCTCTCTTGGCATTTTACTGTACCCTTGTGGAAATTTTTCTCTGAGAAAATCTTACTTTCTCTTAAAAAGTCTGAATAATACTTATTAAGTCGGGAAAAGTCAGAATAAGACTTCTTAAGTCGGAAAAAGTCTGAATAAGTCTTATTAAGTCAGACTAATAGCAAGATTTGGGAGTCTTTTGGAAGAGTTAATAAGACTTTTTAAGACTTAATAAGACTTTTAGTAGAGAAATGGTAGGTACCTATGGCGATAAAAATAAATATCCGAAATAATTCATAGGGGTTGTATTTGGTTATCGTAAAATAAAACACATAGAAAAGTATTTATTAACATTTTTGCCAAGTTTATTGCATAATTACCTATATAATAACATAGGTAAGAGTAATAATTATAACAATTATAATTTTATACATACGATACGCTTGACATGCTTTCATTGTTTCTACCATAGAAAAAGGAGTTGCTACTGTACGTTTTATTTTAATAGTTTCTTTTGATACACGCAAATATTTACCTATCTAAACATTGTTACAAACAAATCTTCTAGACGTAATATCGAGAGACCAGCTCAGCTAGCTGACCAATTAGAGCACAGCTGACCTGTCAGTGGGACACAGTGTTGCCGTTTGCAAGTATTTTACTCGAAAATCGGGTATTTTCGTAATATTTGCAGGTGAAATCGGGTGATTTGCGAATTTCTATCAAAATAATAACAAAAGAAATTTTCAGTAAATAATATTGTATATTGCACAATTATTTTATTCTATCGTGTTACATTTTTATTATTATTTTAGTATTTTGTAATTTATGGTCAGGAACTTTTAAGATGAATGAAACACGAAGATCAACCATATTTGTCTTATGAGTCTATCGAAAATATCATGTCTATAGACATGATATTAACTCCTTTTTCTATGGTGGAAACAATGAAAGCATGTCAAGCGCATCGTATGTATAAAATTATAATTGTTATAATTATTACATCTTACCTATGTTATTATATAGGTAATTATGCAATGCAATAAACTTGGCTTATAAGAACAGCAAAAATGTTAATAAATACTTTTCTATGTTTTTTATTTTACGATAACCAAATACAACCTCTATGAATTATTTCGGATATTTATTTTTATCGCCATAGGTACCTACCATTTCTCTACTAAAAGTCTTATTAAGTCTTAAAAAGTCTTATTAACTCTTCCAGAAGACTCCCAAATCTTGCTATTAGTCTGACTTAAGAAGACTTATTCAGACTTTTTCCGACTTAATAAGTCTTATTCTGACTTTATCCGACTTAATAAGTATTATTCAGACTTTTTAAGAGAAAGTGAGACTTTCTCAGAGAAAAATTTTCACAAGGGTACCTATAAATAAACAACAAAAACATTGGAATGATTTTAACTTTATTTATTGTTTTTATTTTGTTTTTTGCAAACGATTTAACAAACTTCTTCTTCTTTAAATTAACACAAATTAATTTCTTATTCAGTTTCTTGGCCTTAACTTCGCAAATCAGCTGTTAAACAATTGACATTTACATAAAAAACGGAAAGTAATAATAACATCTTTTAGAACAATGTGTTTTATTTTAGTACCAGAAGAACCTTCTTAAAAAAGTCTACAGCCGCCTCGGTTGGAACCTCCAGCAAGGTGAAACCCACTTGGACACCTTGCTGCGCGGGTTAGTTCTAGGTCGTCTGGCCTGGTTGGACGACGAGAACACCGTGAACGAGGCGAAAAAACGGTTCGAATCGCACGTCAAGGGCGAGCAAACTTTGCCGGCCGATCTGAGGAGCGCGTGCTACAAAACGATCTTGAGGGCCGGCGGCAAGGAGGAGTTCGAAACTCTGTTGAGGTTGTACAGATCCACGGACTTGCACGAGGAGAAGGACAGGATTAGCCGCGCCCTTGGCGCTGCGAAGGATGCTGAATTGCTGCTTAAAGTGCTGGAATTCGCCATGTCCGTAAGTACTTCGTGTGAAACTTAATCTACAAACCTGTTTTTTCAAAAAAAAATTTATTGAGGGGTGTTATTTAACACCTAAAAGTGGGCAGTTGGATTTTTTTAAATAAGCCGGCTTAAAAATAAAAAGGACATAAAAATTGTACTTTAAAATGTTCAGTCAATTTTTAAAAAAGCAACTTGAATTAATACTTAGCTTTAATAAACATGACATTAAAAAGTAGTTTAAACGAATACAAAATGATAATTTAAAATGTAAAATTATGCAATTTTTATTTTTTTGCAAAAACGGTATAGCCCATTGAAAAGTACGGAAAAAATCATTTAAGGTGGTTAAATTGAAATATTTAATAAAGAGATGAACAGAAGTTATGATTTTTTAAATAAAAAGCGATTTTACCAAAAATTAAAAAATCGATAAATTTCAATAATCCATAACTCTTGAATGAACAATCCTAGAGCAAAAAAAATGTATGCTATGATTCTTCGTTATAAGAACAACAAATAAGTAAAGTTTAAACAAAATCGGTGACAAATTTTTTTTCACCTGGTACACTTGGTAAATTTTTCCCCATATATTGTATATTATAATTATTTTTCTTAGGCTGAAGTCAGATCGCAGGATACGGTGTTCGTGATAATCTCGGTGGCCTTGACTCGTTTGGGCAGGGAGTTGGCGTGGACGTTTTTCAAGGACAACTGGAGCACGATCAAGGAGCGTTTCAGCGGTTATCTGTTGACGAGACTCGTAAAGTACTTGACTGAGAGTTTCGCGAGCGAAAAGATGTTCAAGGAAGTGGAGGGCTTCTTCAAGGAAAACAAGGCCCCCGGTACGGAAAGAACTGTGCAACAATCGATGGAAACAATCCAACTTAACACTGCGTGGCTTAAAAGAGACTCGGATGCCATTAAGAAATACCTCACCTCGTAATTAAATTGTACTTAAGTGTACTTAATTATTTTATAGTTTTTTTAAAGGTAAAATATGCCAGTGACTGTACCTAGTTTATTATTTTTAGAATTTTGTATTGTGTACAAGTAATACATTGTTTAATTCAGTTATTGAAATATATTGTTTAAAAAATACAATCAATAGTTTTTGTTATCTATTTTCATCTTTAAGGACAGTGTGAACCAACACATGGTATAACAAAATTTGTAGGGGCATAATGGTAAAAATGGTAGGACAAATTCGCACAGTAGTTCAAAATTTATAAATTTGGGAAAATTTGCACAGGAGTGTAAATATAAAAAAATGATAAAACAATTTTTTAAAATTCCAAAATTGATTAATATTATTTTTTAATGGATAATCTATCACTGTGTGACCAAAATATCCATTATAAATGCTGGAAAATTGTATAACACTTAGGGTTAATAAATGAAAAAAGAGTAGATATTAAATTAACGTCTAATTATGAATAATTTTACCAGCTATAAGGAGGAACCCTGCTTAAAATATTTGATTAACACCAATACAAAATATCGATCGTTATTTATTATTTTAAATTGACTTTTGGTATTGGTTTTAATAAAAAATTTCAATAGAAAATAATATTTCAATTATTAATTATTGAAATTTTAATCGGCATACCATTTTGTCAATTTCAATTGGACTGAATTAATTCCAATAGGAAAATGTTGAAACTATTGAACTAAGATTTCAATCGGTTTTAATCGTCATTTTCAATTGAACTGAATTGAAAAATAATTTGGAAATTATTGAACCAAGATCCGTTTTATTTGATTTCGTCAATTTCCGGTCGAAATGACAGCTGTCAAAAACACAGGTGCCAAAATGGCAACTGTCAAAATGACGGCCGTCAAAATAACAGTTGTTGAAATGACAGCTGTAATACTGACGGCTGTCAAAATGACAGGTGATGAGATCACATCTGTCAAAATGGCAGTTGCTGAAATGAAAATTGGCAATTTGGTAGCTTTATTCTTCCGATTAAAATTGTGAAAACCGAAAAACAATTGAACGTCGGGTTTCCGAAATATTCACCATAATAATACTTCGTTAAGTGGGACACCCTGTATATTTTTTAATATTTTAAAAGACAATCGTAACAATGACAGCTGTCACAATGACTGCCAAAATGACAGGTGTCTTAATAACAACTTTCAGAATGACGGCTGTCAAAATGACAGGTGGAATTTATTTTTCCGATCTAAATTGTAAAAACAGAAAAATACTTGAACGTCGGGTTTCCTAAATATTCACATAAATAACATTTTGTTAAATTGGACACCCGGTATATTTTTACAAATTTTATAAGACAATGATTGCCGTTAAAATGACAGTTGTCTTAATGGCGACTGTCAAAATGACAGGTGCTGAAATGATTTCTGTCAAAGTGGCACTTTATGAAATGATAAATGGCAAATTGGCGGCATTTTTTCTTATGATCAAAATTTAATTTTTAATAATATTTTATATTTGATTCGATTGCTTTGGATGTGTTTAATTTACTTAGTGAACTGATATTTTTAGTATGCTTTTACTACCTTAGATATTTGATAACATATAGGTTAACCTAGAAAGAGTAACCGTCACGGAGGATAGGTTTTAGACTTTTAAAACAATGTAAAAAATAATTAATTGCGGTTAAAAATCTGGAACCTGAGCCGTAATATCTACTTAATTATGAAAGATCAAAACACAATAAAAGTGTAGGTCAAACTCATTTAGTTTTATTAAATATCACGGGGTAACACCATTTCGTGAGATTCACCCTTATATAACATCATACAAGTTCTGTAAAATAAAAGTCATATTTTTTTTATACAAAGACATTTATTAATCCTATTCAATTATATTTTTCGATATACTTATAATTATCTTATTATAAACAACTATTTTCTATATACAATGCAACATGGTACAATGATTTACGTACACCATTATTCCTTGGTATTCATAAACATACCTTTAATAAATACATATAACAAATCAAAATAACAATTTAACTCTATCACATAAGAGCGAAAGTTACACCAAATTTGTACAAAATAAAATTCAAACAAAATTGGTGCCATCAAAGAGCAACAATAACCGACTGCAACGTTTCAATTTTCCCCACGCGTATTTATACACATTGGTCAAAAGGGGTGGGGGGCACGATTGACGTCATGATTACGAGGGAGGGGGTGAAGCTACGTCGAAGATGGCGGAGAATTAAAACGCGCTGCCTCGATTTTGATTTGTCTTTTACCGCAGTGACTAAGCGTTGGAAAAATCACTGGATTTAAAAAAGAAAAACTGTGCGCAAAAAGCGTGCACCGAGCATGGATTGGTGATAATTAAATCTAAAAATCGTTCACAGGGTAACACGAAAATACGTCTTCTTGAGATTTTACGTATTTTCGCGTTTCCCCGTAATCAAAACATGTCGTTAATGATGTAGAAAAATCATTAGACGGCATGTTATCATTATCATCAAAATTTCATATCTTGGACGTATAATGGGAGGGGTGCATTGCGTAAATTAGTGCCATCTCGGACTACACTACTGTATACGATTTTTAACGTGTTTTTTTGACTTCACTACTTGTACAGACTATATAAAAAACAACACTGCCCACAAGAAAATGAGTAGCCAATAGGAAAACTCGCTTTTGATGATTTTGGTGAGCTGAAATGAATAAATGAAAAAAATACATTGTTAATGTAGCTGTAAGTCCTAATTAAACTACAAAAATTCATAAAGGTTATCCTCTTAAAAATCCTGTTTTTAACAGAATAAAATCGTTTTTTAGTTTTAGACAAAATTAATTTTTTTTAGTTTTTAAAGTGCATAACATAAACAATTTTTGAACGATTTTAATAAAATTTACATAATTTTGTACCTTCATCTATCCACTTTATCGTGTTAAAATTTCAACCAAATCAAACAAAAATTGTCAAAATGGCGGGTCATTTTTGCTCCTAGCGCTTGTACGACTGAATTGAAATATGTATTTATACAATTGTAAAACAGTATTTTTTATTTGAAACTTAAGTTTCAAATAAAAAATACTGTTTAACACAATGTTAAAAATATACAAACCGTTCTGTACGAGTCACTAATAAAATAAATGTAAAAAAAATGACAAGCATGATTTTTTTCATCAATTAATTATGTTCATAAAATTTCTTTAAAAAGTCCTACCAGGAACGAAAATGACCGTAAAAACACGCCATTTCACTTTTTAATCGTAAATGTTTTAAATGTAAAAGAAAATTGAAGTAGGTTTTTAAAATTATAGAAAATATAATTTTTTATAATTTTAATTAAGTCTGACATAATATTATTATATATTTAAAATTATGTCTAGTCATAATATTAATTATTTTTTATGATACATTTTAATTTGGTTCGCATTTTTAAATATTTTACCCGACGAATATTTTTAAACATTTTACATATTATTTTGTTAGTTGAATTAATATTTCCGTCATTTAAATTTGGTCCTTTTTTATTTTGTATGACGTTCTCAATTTTTTACTTTAAAATTTTTATTGGAATTATATAATTTGTGAGACTAAAAACATTCTTGAACAATTTTTTTTTGAAACATGATGTTTAAACTATTTTATTTTATTCTATTATTTTTTAAGTTGCAATTTTTTATTTATAACACCCCAATCATTTTTATTAATGCACTGAATTTTTATTTTGTAACTAAAATTATGACTATATAATAAAACTTTTAGAATTAATTAATTAATGCAATGATTTTTTTGGTTAGAATTAAAATTATGACTTTACATAATAAAAATTATAGAATTAATTGTATCTGAACACATAGAACTATATAATTAATTAATTATGTCTAGTTTGTGATATAAATTAATTTTATGTGTGGACATAAAATTAATTGGGTTGAAATTTTAACACGATAAAGTAGATACATGAAGCAACAAAATTATTTAATTTCATTAAAATCGTACAAAAATTGTTTATTGTACAGCACTTTAAAATTTGAAAATTTTGTCTAAAAAATGATTTTATTTCTTTATAAACTTTATAAATGTGTATAATTTATTTTTTTTACTTTAATTAAGACTCATAGCTACATTACCAATGATCCTTGGTTAAAGTATTTCATTATCAAAATATATATACGAATTTTTGCGATTCTTGAAATTTGTGATTTTACTTTCTTTAGAAAATACAGTCGCAAGTTTCAAGGAACGCCCACCTAATAAAAAGTTTTTTATATATTATATCACACAAAAATCATCAATTTTTCCCTCATTGACTACGCATACAAGTCATAATGCTGAGCAGTGTAATTGATGGTGTTCTAGAGCTCACAGCGTAATTATTAATTTAATCGCTAAAATAATAACGACCGTATTTATTTAGCTTTTCCTGTGTCTCAGCTCTCTAGGCCTAACCTTTAAAAAAACTGCTCTGAAAAAACTAAAAAATAATAAATGCGTCTAAAAATCGAAAATTAAAATTAATCTATCCATTCTAGAGCTAATGCTTAAGCTATTGCCCTTTGGCACTTTTTTTAAGTTATCCTTTTTTCCTACATATTTACAATCAGATTTTTAATATAAGTATCTTAGAAGGTAAAGTAAAGCAAAAGAATTGCAAAAACAACAATGTGAATTATAAAAGTAAATTTAACAATATTTTGTATACATTATATACAGAATCTGACGGTAAACGTGATTTTTACAATAATTACACGAGTGGAAACCAAACAATTTGTCTGTAAGGTTTGTTAATCTAAAAACCCGAAAAACGTCAAAATTTTTTTGTTTCCACGAAAAATTAAACATGATTCAACAGACAAAACAATAAAACAGAAAAATTTGTGCCGGCAAGGCAATGGCAAATCCCAGCCTTGTAAAAATCAGTTCCGCTGCATCGGCAGCGTTTTTTTATTTAATTATTTAATTTCATTAATTACTTACAAACAGCCCCATTCTTTCGACCAGACACTTTAAAGTCTTAGTTTTATTCTTTTAGTATTAATTGAGCACCATGGAAGGATTGGATATCTATGTTGAGTGCACAGAGCGGTAATTATTATTAATAAAGTTCGTTTTTTAATAATTTTTTACTAAGCGCCCCGAATAATGGAAACAGTGTATAACATCGCATATTACGTCATAACTGTCGCATCAATTAAATAATTTGTTGATTATACACAAATTATATCGAAATTAACAAAAGTATGTCAAAAAATTCACTTTCTATAGAAAATTATCTATAAAAAGCAATAAACCAATCAGCTAGCGTTTTAAAGTGTTAAAAAAAAGAAAAATTGGGGAAAATTTTTTCCCTGGGTGTCAAAAAAATTGTTTTTTTTGGGAAATTTTTCATAATTTTAAAGAAAATCTTAAAAATACACACATTTTAATAAAAGGAGCATTTTTTATGTTATTTATAAATACTTTATTTTTACTTGGTTTATAAATCCTATTTTTCCAAAAAAAATACATTTTTTCCACACCTAGCAAAAAAAACGAATGGTTTTTTTCCGAGCCTTTAAAATATCACGAGCATTTTAAAAGTTATACCGAAATTACCAAAGTCGGATGTCGACAAAAAATGCACTTAAAATGTTGCTAGAAATTTGTGACTTTACTTTCTATAGAAAATTATCTATAAAAGCAATAAAAGAGTTGAAAAAAAAAACGGGGAAAATTGAGGAAACCTGTTTTTTCGTTTTACCCTGGGTCTTGGAAAAATTGGCATTTTTGGAAATTTTTTCAGATTTTTTTTTGTAAAATTTAAAAATACACATATTTTGATAAAAGAAGCATTTTTTTATGGAGTTTAAAATACTTTATTTTTACCTGGTTCATAAATCCAATTTTTCTAAAAAAAGACATTTTTTCCGCACCTAGCAAAGAAAAAAAAACAAAAAAATAGTTTTTTAAGAGCCTTTAAGTTATACCGAAATTACCAAAATTCGGATGTCGACAAAAATGCACTTAAATTGTTTCTAGAAATTTGCGACTTTACTTTCTATAGAAAATTATCTATAAAAAGCAATTAAATAGTTGAAAAAAAAACAGGGAAAAAAGTGGGAAAACCTGTTTTTTCGTTTTACCCTGGGTCTTGTAAAAATTGGCATTTTTGGAAATTTTTTCAGATTTTTTTGGAAAATTTAAAAATTTTGATAAAAGAAGCATTTTTTATGTTGTTTATTTTTACCTGGTTCATAAATCCAATTTTTCCAAAAAACACTTTTTTCCGCCCCTAGCAAAGAAAAAAAACGAAAAAATAGTTTTTTTTTCGAGCCTTTAAAACATCACAAGCATTTTAAAAGTTCTACCGAAATTACCAGAAGTCAAATGTCGTAAAAAAATGCACTGAAAATGTTTGCAACACCAGGGGTTGTTACTAGAAATTTGCACTTTACTTTCTATGGAAAATTATCTATAAAAAGCAATAAACCAATCAGAGTTAGTGTTCTTTTTCTCCTGGATCTTGGAAAAATTGTCTTTTTAGGAATTTTTTTCAGATTACTTTTGTAAAATTTAACAATACACACATTTTAATAAAAGGAGCATTTTTTATGTTATTTATAAATTCTTCATTTTTGCTTGGTTTATAAATCCAATTTTTCCGAAAAAAAGAAAGTTTTTCGCACCTTGCAGAAAAAAGAACAAAAAATTGTTTTTTTGAGCCCTTAAAACGAATAAAGCATTTTTTATATTACATATCATACGGAAAAGATGCAAAAGTCGTTTCTTTTGAAAATTTACCAATTTTTCCAGTTTAAAAAACCCGCAGACTCAACTTGGAAATTTGAAAACACTAATCAGAGCAAGCACTTAGTGTGCTGTGGAGAAATCAGTGCTCTGATAGGTGCATTGCTTTCTATAAAGATTATTTTCTATAAAAAGCAAGAATTCCTTTGACAGTATTAATATATGTCAAAAATGTCCAGTATTGCCAATGTTACAGAGTTGTCCCATATAAACGCAAAAGGTCGCTAAGTATAATTAATTAATAGGCAGGGTCAAAGATAATATTATTATCTTTGGGCAGGGTAACTAAATCCTAAAAAATTGAAAAAAATCACACACCTTGCGAAATTTGTTCATCATTTACTACGCGAGTTCCGAATGGTTTGAAAAAAGACATTCGTTGCCGATTGGACGTCATTTCCGTTCAGAAGTCAAAAATTTGTCTAAGAAAAACAGTCTTTAGTTTGTATAAAAGGTCAATTGCTACTAAAAATGCTAAATAATTAATTATTGCACACCGTTTAAATCGTATGACGTAATTTCAAGTAGATAACGCAGGAAACAGTTCAAGAAAAGTGTGTTAAAAGGTGGTATGCATGGTGGGATAGTGTGTGTAGGTTATGACTAAATAATGGTCACTGATCGGTGCACGGTGAACTTTTTCCTGAGCGAGGTTGGTAACCCTCATTTGATCCCGGAGTATTGTTCCGGATACAGCTGTACACCTTCGACGCTAAATATTGAAACATCTGAAACAACAAACAAAAGACTTAGACTAGATAAAGATACTTCACATAGGGATGAATGTAGGGATTTCAACTGCTGGACCCCTTTCTACACCGCACTTTTCGCTATCTCTTGATAAAGTTTTATGCTAGTTGTTTGTAAGTAATTTGACTGAATTTTAATTTATTTATTAACATTACATTACAGTAGTTACATTGGGAACAAAAAAAAATACAAAACTTGTAATAAAAATTATTATAAAAAATAATATAGATAATTTCTTATAATCTTTATATTAATTTTGTTCAATATTAGAAGCAAGATATCAGTTTAATGTTCTACAAATATTTAATTGTTTAGTAGATATAATTCATATTATGGAGTTTAAAAGAGGATAAATGTACTAAAAATTGAAATATCCGAAATAGTGCAATATTTTTATACAAGTTTTTTAGCCTTGTATACATTTAAAAATAATATTTATTATTTATTTATTTAGTTTTATATATTACTAATAGTAATTGACTATAGTATAGGGGTCTTTCATCTCAAATTGACTAGGCAAAAAGGGGTAGGTCGGTATTATTTAACATTTTTTTACAGTTTCTCTACCAAAATCGATGAGACCTGTATTTTTTTTTGCTTAAAAATGGACAGAAACATTAATTTTTCTCTTTTTACAAGTGACATTTTTTCTTGAAAATGCGATAAATTGGCAAACAATTTTTTTGTTTTAAATTACATACAAAAAATATATAAAAAATTAATTGAATTCATTCAATTTATTTTAAATTGTTTTTTCTAAAAATGCAAAAAAATTGAGGTTAAAATTTTGACATTGGCACTTTTTTTTACTTCATATTTTTTTCGTTTGAAGTTGATAAGAAAATAAGAACAACTTTCACTAAATTTATCGTTTCGGAATTATTATTTTTTAATACTACTAAATTCGTGGTTCATCGCAAAAATTTGGTATTATATCTAAGGTCATGAAACTGGAGTGACCTTTATAAATTGTAATTTAGAACTTTTTGACATATTTATATATTTTTGTAACTTCCGGTTTCACCGAAAATGGTCTTAACTTAATTTTTTAATATGCATTTCGATTCAAAATAAAATTCTGAATACATACATATGTCATTTGTCAATTTTTGACAGGTCAAATCATTTTTTGATTAAATTTTATTTCTATATCTAGAGTGCCTTGAATTGGCTTTTCTGCTTCAAATTTAATTTTATTCCTTTTTTGCAATGCTGGAGCCTTTAGGAGGTTTCAAAAATTGAAAAACCATACCTTATGCCAAAATTTCAAATATTCAAATATTAATGCATTTGTTAATAATATCGCTTTTAAACTCTTAGTTAAATTTGAATGTTTGTTGGGTTTTAAAGTGTGTACAGAATTAAAATAAATTAAGAAGGCTTGGAAACCTTTGTGTTTAAAAGAAGTAACAGATTTGACATTTTGTTAGTTTATTTTGTTGGTAAGTGAATATTAACATTTTATTTTACTATGAAAACATACGCTAAAACTTGGTTGTAATCCTTTTTCTATGGTTGTAATCAAAGGGGTGTAAGTAATTGCACAACATTTTTTGGTTTTAAAACTACTAAATAAAATCATTCAAATATTTTAAAACGATTATAAAACGTTATATCTAACAGCCCCATTGTAGGGTATCTCTGGCAATAAATAAAAAAAACTAAATATGAAATCAAATGAAAATTTGTTATTTCTTAACATAATTAACCAGCGCATTAGTTTCTGGACCTCTTAGGCATAATAATTATTTCCCTTAGTCAAAAATAGTTTCGCGACTCATATCTGTTAACCGACCAAAATTTTCGGAATTGTTTGTGTTGTACATTTCTTCGAAATCGCGTTTTTATAAGTTTCTTGTGCATTCGATTCATTACTTTTAGGTATGTAATACTCACTTTTTATTTTTTAACCAAAATTTACATTTTACTCTAAAATCTTGAATAATTTCATTTACTTACTTAAGACCATTTTCGGTGAAAGAGGAAGTGACAAAAATATGTTAAATATGTCAAAAAGTTCTAAATTACATTTTCATGAAAAAAAAATATGGAAATGTCAAAATTTTGACCTCATTTTTTTTAACCTTAAAAAACATTAAAAAAAATTGAATAAATACACTTAATTTTTTATATATTTTTTGTATGAAGTAAACATTTAACTACAATTAAAAAGAAAATTTTAACGATCGTAACATTTTTGGCCAAGTTATCGCATTTTCAGGAAAAAATGTCAATAGTAAAAAGAGAAAAATTGATGTTTCAGTCCATTTTTCAAAAATTTCCTACGGGTCGATTTGAGATTGAAAGAACCATAGATAGCTACAGAATTTTAACTAATTTTCAAAAAAAAACTATATTATACAGAAAGTTTAAAAATTAACAAAACCAGAAAATTGGTAAAATTATTATGTTTTAAATTAAAAAACTATTATTGAAAAAATAAAAATAATTTGCCGTTACCTATCTAAGGTTTTTTATGAAAATAAAAATAATAATAACAGTTTTAAAAGTAAAAGTAAAAAATCTTTCATTTTTTAAAATTTTCTTTGATTTCCCTCATTATAATATGAATCAATCAAAAGCCTTTAATTTTCGAATAAATTTCGTTTAAATAAGCGATTAAATCACTAGAACTATTTAACAGCGATTAAATTTTAGCCTCCATATTGGATTTTTGTTTACGATTTTATGGTGTTATTTACAAGTTTTAACAAACATTTTTTAAAAAACAATTAAAAATAAGTTATCTAGTTTACGAAATATCAATATCAACTTATTACATACCTTAAATTAATGGAATTTTCTTTAAAAAAATATTTATAAATTTTGACACATACGTCAGATTTTATGAATTGTCAAATAGTTTCCTTTAATTCGAGAAATAATCTAGACGTATATCACTCAACCTATAAATTTAATCTGTCAAACTATGCTTAGTAAGTTTTTTATTTGATTTTTCTTTTTGGAAAATGGTTTCATGCAAAATAATTAAAAATAAAACCCCTCGACATTTTCCAACAAAAACCAAACAAAAAACTACTGAGCCTATAGTTTAACCGATTAAATTCATAGTTCTCATGATATAATATATGAAAAAATTATAAATGCTGTATTAAAAACCCTTCTAGATTGCAATCCCTATATGCATAAAATGCATTCTTTCGTCAAAATAATCTGTAAAAAATATTCAAAACCGTTGCTCTTACCGTCTGGCAGTTCGAGTAACTTCTTAGGCAAATCGGTGAAATAGGCGTGCACCATGGCTTCCTCTGCGCCTAGGCGCTTGGTCGGGTCGAGCTGGAGCAGCGCAGTCGCCATCGTTTCGCCGTGCAGCACGTCGTGCAGCCGGGGCCACGTGAGGCCAAGACGGCGCGCGCGATACTGCCCGATGCGGTGCTGCTTGTAGCCGGGCAGCTGCGACACTCCCGCCCACTCGTCTTCGACTGGGGTGCCCAAAACCTAAAAATTGTTATAGATTTTGTCAAATTACAGAACATAAGTGTTCTACATCACGAAATATTTTTTTGCCGCAGATATGCCATCTAATACTTTTAAATTGGTTAAGGTAAACATTTTTTACATAAAACGAACTCATAAATTTATTTTTTTTACCTTTGAGAGAACCGCAGAGAGTAAAAATTTAAAAAAGAATTTGTAGGAGAACATTTTAGCTTGTCTTCATTTTAAACTTGTGATCATTTAAGCTTGACATTATTTTAAATTATCATCATCGTAGCCTTTCTGCATTTAAGCATGTCTTGTCATTATTTTAGCTTATCTGCAATTTAACACATCATCATTAAGATTGTTACCATTTTAGCTTTTCTGCATTTTTAGTTTGTCATCATTTAAGCTGACTGCATTTTAGGTTGTCATGAATTTAGTTTGTCTTGTCATCATTTTGGCTTGTTATCATTTTAGCTCTTCTGCATTTTAGCTGGTCGTCAATTTAAGATTGTTACCATTTTAGCTCGTCTGCATTTTTAGCTTATCATCATTTTAGTTTACCTTGTCATCATTTTAGCCTGTCTTGTGATTATTTTAGCTTGTCTTGTCATCATTTTAGCTTGTCTGTATTTAGATTTTCTGCAATTTAGCTTATCATCATTTTAGCTTGTCTGCATTGTAGCTTTTTATTTTAGCTTGTCATAAATTAAGTTTGTCTTGTCATCATTTTAGCTTGTTTTGTCATTTGTTTACCTTGTTTTGTCATAATTTTAGCTTTTCTGCATTTTAGATTGTCTTGACATCATTTTAGCTTGGCTGTAAGTCAATTTAGCTTATCTTGTCATCATTTTGGCTTGTTATCATTTTAGCTCTTCTGCATTTTAGCTGGTCGTCAATTTAAGATTGTTACCATTTTAACTCGTCTGCATTTTAGCTTTTTATTTTAGCTTGCCATCATTTTAGCTTTTCTGCATTTAAGTTTGTAATCATAAAAAGCTAAAAGCTAAAACTGTAGCTTGTCTTGTCATCATTTTAGCCTGTCTTGCGATTATTTTACCTTTTCTTGTCACCATTTTAGTTTGTCTGTATTTAGATTTTCCGCAATTTAGCTTATCATCATTTTAGCTTGTCTGTATTTAGATTTTCTTCAATTTAGCTTATCATCATTTTAGCTTGTCTGCATTGTAGCTTTTTATTTTAGCTTGTCATCATTTAAGCAGTCTGCATTTTAGCTTGTAATGAATTTAGTTTGTCTTGTCATCATTTTAGCTTGTTTTGTCATAATTTTAGCCTGTTTGCATTTTAAACTTGTCATAATTTTAGCTTTTCTGCATTTTAGCTGATCTGCATTTTAGATTGTCTTGTCATCATTTTAGCTTGGCTTGTAGTCAATTTAGCTTGTATTGTCATTATTTAGATTTTTTGCATTTTAGCTGGTCGTCAATTTAAGATTGTTACCATTTTAACTTGTCTGCATTTTAGCTTTTTATTTTAGCTTGCCATCATTTTAGCTTGTCTGCATTTAAGCTTGTAATCATAAAAAGCTAAAAGCTAAAACTGTAGCTTGTCTTGTCATCATTTTAGCCTGTCTTGCGATTATTTTACCTTTTCTTGTCACCATTTTAGTTTGTCTGTATTTAGATTTTCCGCAATTTAGCTTATCATCATTTTAGCTTGTCTGTATTTAGATTTTCTTCAATTTAGCTTATCATCATTTTAGCTTGTCTGTATTTAGATTTTCTTCAATTTAGCTTATCATCATTTTAGCTTGTCTGCATTGTAGCTTTTTATTTTAGCTTGTCATCATTTAAGCAGTCTGCATTTTAGCTTGTAATGAATTTAGTTTGTCTTGTCATCATTTTAGCTTGTTTTGTCATAATTTTAGCCTGTTTGCATTTTAAACTTGTAATAATTTTAGCTTTTCTGCATTTTAGCTGATCTGCATTTTAGATTGTCTTGTCATCATTTTAGCTTGGCTTGTAGTCAATTTAGCTTGTATTGTCATTATTTAGATTTTTTGCATTTTAGCTGGTCGTCAATTTAAGATTGTTACCATTTTAACTCGTCTGCATTTTAGCTTTTTATTTTAGCTTGCCATCATTTTAGCTTGTCTGCATTTAAGCTTGTAATCATAAAAAGCTAAAAGCTAAAACTGTAGCTTGTCTTGTCATCATTTTAGCCTGTCTTGCGATTAGTTTACCTTTTCTTGTCACCATTTTAGTTTGTCTGTATTTAGATTTTCCGCAATTTAGCTTATCATCATTTTAGCTTGTCTGTATTTAGATTTTCTTCAATTTAGCTTATCATCATTTTAGCTTGTCTGCATTGTAGCTTTTTATTTTAGCTTGTCATCATTTAACCTGTCTGCATTTTAGCTTGTAATGAATTTAGTTTGTCTTGTCATCATTTTAGCTTGTTTTGTCATAATTTTAGCCTGTTTGCATTTTAAACTTGTCATAATTTTAGCTTTTCTGCATTTTAGCTGATCTGCATTTTAGATTGTCTTGTCATCATTTTAGCTTGGCTTGTAGTCAATTTAGCTTGTCTTGTCATTATTTAAATTTTTTGCATTTTAGCTGGTCGTCAATTTAAGATTGTTACCATTTTAGCTTGTCTGCATTGTAGCTTTTTATTTTAACTTGCCATCATTTTAGCTTGTCTGTATTTAAGCTTGTAATCATAAAATGCTAAAAGCCAAAGCTAAAACTGTAGCTTGTCTTGACTGCATTTTAGCTTGTCGTCATTTTAGCCTGTCTTGTAATTATTTTAGCTCGTCTTGTCATCATTTTAGCTTGTCATGAATTTAGTTTGTCTTGTCATCATTTTAGCTTGTTTTCTCATAATTTTAGCCTATTCGCATTTTAAACTTGACATAATTTTAGTTTTTAACATTTTAGATTGTCTTGTCATCACTTTAGCTTGGCTTGTAGTCAATTTAGCTTGTCTCGTCATCATTTTGGCTTGTTAATTTAGCTCTTCTGCATTTTAGCTGGCCGTCGATTTAAGATTGGTATTATTTTAGCTTGTCTTCATTTTTAGCTTATCTGCATTGTAGCTTGTAATCATAAAATGCTAAAAGCCAAAGCTAAAGCTGTAGCTTGTCTTGTCATCATTTTAGCTTGTCTGCATTGTAGCTTTTTATTTTCTCTTTTCTGCATTTTAGGTTGTCCTCAATTTAGCTTGTCTTGTCATTATATTAGCCTGTCTCAGTCATTCCCCGTTACTCGGCTGTAATAATAAAAAAATGTGAGTAAAAGCTATTGTAATTAAATTAAATACCTACCATCGCAATCATTTTTATTATGCTTGTAATAATAAAGCTTAAGCTTATAAGCATAATAATTACAGTAGATTTTACTCACAAATTTTGATTATTACGGACGCGGAGTAACATGGAATGGCTGTGCCTGCATTTTTACATTGTCATCATTTTGGCTTTTCTGCATTTTTTGTCATAAGATTAGCTCTTTTGCATTTTTAACTTGTCATTATTTTAATCTGTAGTCTGTTTTGCTTGTCATAATTTAAGCTTGACCTTATTTAGACTTGATATCATTTTGGCTTGTTATTTTAGCTTTTCTGCATTTTAGCTTGTCATCATTTTGACTTATCATCATTGTACCTTGAAAATAAATCCGGAGCCAACTCACCTTAAAAATCTTATCGAGCTGGTCGTAGGTGTCCCTGACGCCGGGAAAGATGGCCATCCCGGTGATCATCTCGACGAAGATGCAGCCGACGCCCCACATGTCCAGCGACGTGGAGTACTCCGTGCTGCCCAGCAGGACGTCCGGCGGCCGGTACCACAGCGTGACCACCTCGTGCGAGTACGTGTGGCTCGGCACGGACTTGGCGCGCGCCAGGCCGAAGTCGGCCAGCTTCAGTTCGCCCTGCTCGCTGATGAGCAGGTTCTGCGGCTTGACGTCGCGGTGCAGCACGCGCCGCTTGTGGCAGTAGGCCAGGCCGCGCAGCAGCTGGAACAGGAACAGGCGCACGTTGCGCGCCTCCAGACCGCCGCCGTGCCGTTCCAGGTATTGCGACAAGTCGGTGTGCTGGAAAATGAGAAATAATATTAATAATAATAGTTTATTGTTTAACAGATATATTAAGAATCGGGTCTTCCCAACGCGCACGTCATCTGGTGGACTTCGAATGCATTGCGTGAATTTAAGAATTGTCAACAAAACATTTAAAGCATACGAACATCATTTTTAAATAAATAGGTAGTTCTTTAAATAAGAGAGGAAGGCAGTACTCCATTTCAATTGATTATTCCTTATATCATTGATTAAGAAACTCAACGCTTAAATGCTTATATAGTTACGTTAGTGTATGTATTTTATCAAAGGGATCATGGTGAATTATTGTGTTTTTATTTGTAAATAAACTTCAAAAACTAAATCGTTGCATATTCATGTTTTGCCAAAGGATCTAATTCGGTAAGTACATTTGTTGGTGCAGAATTAACTAGTGATAACTTTACCTAATATAATTTATATTTAAGTTTGGACATTTTCAAGAAATTAGTAAAAAATAAGTTTTGCACAAACATAACCTTAAAATCAACCATTTATATATTTTAGTTCTCTAAAGACGCCGACAACTGCATTTTAAACAACAAAATATACCTACGAATTTATGGCAACATAATATTATATATAATACATAATATAATGGTATTTTACCGTTGAGTGGAGACTTTAAAGAATTCTTAATCAACGCTTTTAATAATGCTAAATGCTGTTTAAATTTAGACGACTTATTTGTTTGACGATTTTTACTGAATTGAAATGTTTACACTTTTCACGTTAATCATTACTAAAATGTGTATTTATTGTATCTAATAGGTACAATTTATATTTACAGAGACTGTATGCAATTTATTTCTTCATTCAGATTTAAACTGTTTATTGGAAAACCGGTAAAAACTCAACCCAGGATTTCCTCTCGAAATACACCCAACAACACAACAAATCGAGCCACGGCTTTTTTTTCGATATTTTTTAATATTTTCCCGCTTTGTTCTTAAACACTCGTTTGTAACATAAGCGTTTGACAGCTGATTATTAAAAGTTATACTTTTGTTAAGATGATAACAGCCGTGTGGTGGCGCTAATAGCGATACTTCTTTAGCGTATAACAATATGAAAATTGGTAAGTTAAGGTTTTTGGGGTCGCTGATCACAAAATAATTAGTTTATCGCCTGGTAAATGTTAATTTTTGGGTTTATTATCAAATTATTAAGTTTAAAATGGAGAAACAAAATGGCGGACTTTAAAAAATAGTTAATTGTCCAGAAAATGTTTATTATTGGGTTTTTGGGGTCGCTGATCACGAATTAGATATCAAAATTATCAAATTCAAAATGGCGGACTAAAACTTTTTTGAAAATTAGTTTATCGCCCGGAAAATGTTATTTTTTGTTTTTTTTTTGGGGTCGTTGATCACGAATTTAATATCAAAATTAATAAATTAGTAACTAACAAACCAAAAATGGTGAACTTTTTTAAAAAACGAATTATTTTATTGCCCTTAAAATCTTTATTACCTATTGGGTGTTTGGAGTCGCCGATCAAGATTTAATATCAAAATTATCAAATTTAAAATAACGGAATTTTTGAAAGAAAAAATTGTCCAGAAAATGTTCATTGTTGGGGTCGCTGATCAAAATTATTAAATTCAAAATGGCGGACTTTTTTTGAAAAATATTTTGAAAATGTTCATTATTAGGTTTTTGGGGTCGCTGATTACGATTTTGATATTAAAATTATTAAATTCAAAATGACAGACGAAAATGCGAACTTTTTTTTTTAAATAATTAGTTTATCGCCCGGAAAATATTAATTTTTGGGTTTTTGGGGTTGTTGATTAAGAATTTAATATAAAAATTTTTAAACTTAAAATAACGCACCAAAATGGCACACTTTAAAAAAAAATTAGTTTATTGTCCAGAAAATGTTCATTGTTAGGTTTTTGGGGTCGCTGATCACCAATTTAAAACGACACCATGTTTCTTTTAAATATAGTTAGTTTTAACTTGTTATTTTAATTTAAACATTACAAATTTTTAAAATAAGTAAATTGTTTTTATATTTTATAAAATAAACTTGTATTTACCTTAATGCAGTTTAAAAATAATTTGTTTTTAATATAAATTTTAATAAATTTGCTTTTTCCTTTTAAATAGAGTCTTTTTCAACGTAAATTATTTATCCGAAATCGGCAGTAAAGTAGTCAACAATCGGCAGTACAGTAAAAGAAATCGGCAGTAAAGTAGAACTTTACTGCCGATTTAATACGAGCATTGTTTGCAACCCATTATACATTTTAAGATGTGTCTACTTCTCCTCAGCAGCAACTAAATAATATTAAAAATAAATATACAAACTTTTAAAAAAGAAAATATATTTTTTTCGAAAATGTAATTTTATCAAATTATTGTATATACCTTCATAAATATTTTACATTTTTTAAATATTAGCATTTTTGTTGTTCAATCAAAACAAGAACTGTCACTAACCGATTGATAAACTGGCTAAAATAGGACTGCGATTTTATACCTAAACTCTATGTAGAGAAAAATAACTTCTTTTACAAAAAATTTTAGTAGCTTTTTTTAATAAGAAATTAGAATTTTATTTTTAACAATTATAGAATGTCATGATTTTTAGAAAGAAAAGCTAAAGCTTAAAAGTATTTTAAAATAATTTTGACAAATACTTGAATTACTAAAAAAACTTTCAGACCATTTCAGTAAATAAAAATAAGAAATGTTCTTATTCTTGACGCGACATTGGTGCAAAAAGTATACTTACAACGTATTCAAAAACAAAAGTGAGTGTCTCTCTAGTGTGTACGATGTCGTGCAACGTAACGATGTTGGCGTGTTTCAGTTCTTTCAGCAGGGAAGCTTCGCGGATCGCCGTAAAGGGGGCGCCTTCCTCCTCCTGAAGCCGGATCTCTTTCAGGGCCACCACCTGGTTCTGTAAACTTGGGAAGAAAAAAGAAAATTAGGAATATTACATTGAAACTATATCTATATTAGGGTGGCCCAAAAAAAAAAAGAATATTTTTTTTCCTCTCGTCTCGTTAAAATATGTTAGTTTATCATGCTGTAAGAGCCCTTTCAAAATATCAGCTCGATTAAAAATTTTGTAGGGGTCGCTCAAGATTTTTTAAAATTTTCAAAATCGTCAAAAATTGAATTTTTGTTTTATTTTAATTCTTTTTCTCGTCTCTATATTATTTTTTAGGTTGAAAATAATAAAAATTCTGTAAATTTCAAATCAATATTTTGATTTCTAAAGGTCGCTAAAAGTTCCTTGATATTTATATTCAGAGGTCGCTCGAAAACATTCAAAATACTCTACTTTGAAAGTTAAAAAAATCTTGAGCGACCTTTAGAAATTAAAATATCGATTTGAAATTTTCAGAATCATTATTATTTTTAAATTAAAAAATAATATCGGAACGAGAAAAAAAATGAAAATAAAAAAAAATCCAATTTTTGACGATTTTGGTAATTTTTAAAAATCTTGAGCGACCCCTAAAAAATTTTTAATGGTGCTGATCTTTTGACAGGGCTCTTAAAACATGACAAACCAACATATTTTCACAAGAGACGAGAAGAAAAAAAATATTCTTTTTTTTGGGCCACCCTAATCTATATTGATATAACTCAAGTCAGGTTTTGAAGATAAACATTTTAATAAAAAAAAACATTCTAAAATACGTCTTGACATTGTTATGAATTAAAAAATCCCAAAATTGTTTTAAACATTCTCAAATATCTAAAGTGTTTTAAACATTTTAAAATTTTTACCAGTTTCGTCAAAATTTCAAATATATGATTCTTATTTGAACATAAATTCAAAACTTCAAAACTTACAAATCCCATTTCCGCTCATACTCGATAATTGTGGGGCGCAACTCTTTCTCATTTAAACGCTATCCTATCAATTTGGTGCGGAAAGGGCCCTTTCTGAAACCACTTTAAGCTAATGGGTTTGTTCTTTTGACTCTTCAACCATGAATGGGAATGGGAAATCTAATTTAACGCGAATGAATTTTAAATACCCAATTACATTTTTAGCTTTTTGCAATTAGTATTCTTGAATTGGTTTAACATTCTAAAATGTATTTTTGACATTCTAAATTGTTTTTTTTTACATTTTTAAATATTTTTTTGCCCTTTTAAGGTCAATATTCTTAAATATGCTTTTTATTCTAGAATGAAGTTTTTAGTTATTTATACATTTTTTAATTTGGTTTAACATTCTTGAATGTGATTTTATTATTTTTGAATCTATTTAAACACTCTTAAATATGTAGGTGTTAGTCATTTAAAACATTCTTAAATATTTTTTGGCCTTTCTAACTAAATTCTAGACTAAAAAACCATATTTAAGAATGTTATAAATATAGTTAAGAATGTAAATAATAATTATTTTTGATACATGTATTTTTGACATTCTTAAATAATGTGTTTTTAATACATTATTTTGTCATTTTAAGGTTACATTCTGAACTATATTTGTAACATTCTTAAATAAGTTTTTTTATTGTAGAATGTAGTTTTATAGTATGTTATGTATCAAGTTTTATAAAAGCCATTTTAGTTACGAGTTTAATTAAGCACGAGCGAGTGTTTAATAAAAACGAGTTGCATACTATACTTTATCTACAACGAACACAAAACAGAATTTAAAGCCAATTTTATTTGTTAAAAATTTGACATCTGTCAACTGTCACCCGTGACTAAAACGCATTGTAGCTTTTTATTTTAGCTTGTCATCATTTAAGTTGTTTGCATTTTAGCTCGTAATCATTTTGGCTTGTATTGTTATCATTTTTGCTTGTCATCATTCAAGCTGTCTGCATTTTAGCTTGGTTTGTCATTTTTTAGCCTGTCTGCATTTTAGATTAGCCCTTCTGCATTTTTAACTTGTCATTATTTTAGCCTTTAGCCTGTCATCATTTTAGCTTGGCTTATAGTCAATTTAGCTTGTCTTTTGATTATTTTGGTTTGCTATGTTTTTTACTTTTTTGCATTTTAAATCTTCTGCATTTTAGCTGGTCGTCAGTTTAAACTATTAATTAATTAATTAAGATTGTTACCTTTTTAGTTTGTATGCATTGTAGCTTTTTATTTTAGCTTGTCATCATAAAATGCTAATAGCCAAAGCAAAAGCTAAAAGCTAGAAGCTTCACTTGTCATTATTTAAGCTTGTATTGTTATCATTTTTAGCTGGTCTGCATTTAATCTTGTCATCAAAAAATGCTAAAAGCCAAAGCTAAAGCTAAAAGCTTGTAGCTTGTCTTGTCATAATTTTAGCTTGTCTGCATTGTAGTTTTTTATTTTTGCTTTTTTGCATTTTAGCTTGTCATAATTTAAGCTATATGCATTTAAGCTTGCAATCATTTTAGCTTCTCTGTATACAAGTTTGTCGTTAATTTACCCTATTATCATTTTAGCTTATTGTCATTTATGCATTTTTGCATTTTAGTTTTTCGTCAATTTACCTAGTCATCATAAAATGCTAAAAGTTTGTCTTGTCATCATTTAATATCTTCTGCATTTTAGCTTTTCGTCAATTTCATCACAAAATGCTAAAAGTTTGTCGTGTCATCATTTCAGCTTTTCTGCATTTTAGTTTTTTGTCAATTTACGTTTAAGTCTAAGATTGCATTCAAGAATGGTAAGCCTAAATTATAGATTGCCTTCCTTCCTTCCTCCAGTAAAATATGAACAATAAGAAAGTGCCATTTAAGGACTCTATATAACTCTATACCAAATTTAAAAATTTTGAATGAATTAAAACAAAATTCTAGACTAAAAACCATATTTGGCCTTTTTAAGGTTGACATTCTTAACTATATTTGAAACATTCTTAAATAAGTTTTTTATATTTATTATGTATCAAGTTTTATAAACGCCATTTTAGTATAGAGTTTAATTAAGTATGGACGAAGCTTGCGAGCGAGTGTTTAGTAAAAACGAGTGTCTAACACAAAGAAGAATTTAAAGCCATTTTTATTTGTTAAGCATTTGACATATGTCAAATGTCAACAGATTTAACCTCACTTTTTCACAATTTATAATAAAGCTCCAGCTCGTGAATGTATCCTATAGGATAGAATCAAAAAAATACTTTTTTAACGTTCTAAAATAAAGTTATAAAATTTCAAAACATTAACATTCATAAATGTATTTTGGCTGATAAGCGTTTTAAATAAAAATAATTTATTGACATACGTATTATAAAATATAGACTTACTTGCTAAATCCTTTATACACAGTAGCATAAGACCCTTCACCTAATTGCTCTAGTTTGATGTATGCCTCAGTTTTGCCAAATGGAGAATCGCCCTAGAAAAACAAAAACAAATTAAAATCTAAAATTTTAAATAGGTGCAGTAAAATTGTGTACCATAATAGTGAACTACCGATGTAAAACTGTACGCATATAAAACTACATCAAACATTATCGACCGCGTTCATAAAATGTATGTAAATTTACGTAAGATGGGTTTATTTATTTTTCGGCAATAAACGATTTTAATAAGGCAACATTTCACGTTCCATAAATAAAATCAAACTGTTTGCGCCAAATTAAACATCTCACTAAATCCAGGTAATTGTTGGTGACTATACAAAATGGCAATTTAATTATTTTAATTTGTTGCCTCAAGGCCGGATGATGTACGGTATTCCGCATATTGTTACCAATCTAAAATATGGAAATAAATTATCAAATTACTCTGCAACGATGAACAACTATTTTAGTATGCCTAATTTAATATAATGCCCACGACATATATTGATCAAAATTAATCATGCGCAATGTTAATTTAATAAAATGAATATTGGTTGGTTTAATACAAAGGGATTGATTTGTACTGTGACAAAATTCAAAGATATGGTTTATTTTTATATTCTAAATTTTGTTTTTAACATAAAATTTTTTGGTATATCTAAAAGTGACATTTTAAAATATGTTCTTAACCATGTAAAATGGTTTTAAATAAGATTTTAACATTCTAAAATGTATTTTTTTTTTACATTTTTGAATATCTTTGGATTTTATAAAATTGAAATTCCCAACTTTATTTTTAATATTTCGAAATGTGTTTTAACCATTTTTTTGTTGATATTCTTAAATGTTGTTTTATCATTCTAGAATATATTTTTGATATTTTTAAGATTGACATTCTTAACTATATTTTTAATATTTCGAAGTATATTTTAACCATTTTTTTGATGTTTTTAAATGTGGGTTTAACATTCTAGAATGTATTTTTGACATTCTAGAATGAATTTTGGCATTCTTAAATATTTTTGGCCATTTTTTATATTTTTAAATGTTGTTTTAACATTCTAGAATGTTTTTTTACATTCTAAATTTTGTTTTTGACCATATTAAATGTGTTGAAACTCTATTTCGAAATGTGTTATAACCATTTTTTATATTCTTAAATGTGGTTTAACTATACTAGAATGTACTTTTACATTTTTTTATGTGTTTTTAACCACCTTAAATGCTTTTTTAAAATATAAAAAGGATTTAAGATTCTAAAATGTATATTTGACATTTTTTTAAATGTCTTTTGTATTTATAAAATTGACTTTCCTAACTATATTTTAAATATTTCAAAATTTGTTTTAAACATTTTTTGTGGTTTTAATATTCTAGAATGTATTGTTACATTCTAAATTGTTTGAACATCTTAAATAAGTTAAAATTCTTAACAACAAAATTTCAAAAAGTCTTTTAACCATCTAAAATGCTTTTTGCACTATATAGGATTTTAACATTCTAGAATGTATGTTTAACGTTCTAAATTTTGTTTTTAACAAATATATATGTTAGCTAATCTAAAATTGACCTTTTAAAATGTGTTTTCTAAGGTTTATTTTTTTTTAAATATGGTTTTAAAATTCTAGAATGTATTTAAGACGTATTTTTTATATTTCTAAAATTTTGAAAGATGTTTTATCCATTTTTTATTCTTAAATTTGGTTTTAACACACTAGAATGTATTTTTACATTCTAAATTGTGTTTAAAATTCGTAACAAAAAATATTTAAAAAAGTGTTTGGGTAGTGAGTGACTGTTCGCAAAATGTCACCTTTCCAAGTCTACCATAGTAAAAATTATATTAAAAAAACTTATATGATAAGTAACACTTTATCACTCTGTATCTTGGAAACATACGTAATTAGGAAAAATACTTATTTAGGTTTTCGTGTTATTTTGACTTGCTTAATCTTTTACTAAATTTATGCCAATAGGTTTAGGGACAACTTGTATATATAAAAAAATAAAAATGCTTGACATACATAATATTATGTACATCAATAATATTTTAACATTCTAAAATGTATTTTTAACATTCTAAATTATGTTTTCGGCATAAAATATTTTTGGTGTATCTAAAATAGACATTTAACATGTGTTTTTTTTAAAACCTAAAATCTTTTTTAAAATTTTTAAATATTTTTTTAATATTCCAAAATGTATTTTTAAAATTTAAACTATTTTTTTGAACATAAGAAAATTTTTAAACATGACAAAGTTGAAATTCTTAATTACATTTTTAACAGTTTTAAATGTGTTTTTAAATTGATTTTAACATTCTAGTATTTAACTACCATAAATGCTTTTTTGAAATTTTTAAATATGGTTCAAACATTCTAGAATATATTTTTGTAAATGGTTTTTTGTATCTTAAATAAGAGTAAACATGTGTTTTAAACAATTTTTTTTGATATTTTTAAATGTGGTTTTAACATTCTGGAATGTATTTTTACATTCTAAATTGTGTTTTAAATTTTAAATAAGGAAAATATAAACAAAAACATTTTAAAAGTGCTATTTGAAAATATAAAAATATATTTTTTACGTTCTAGAATGTATTTTTAACTTTCAAAATGTTGTTTTTGGCATTAAATATTTTAGGCCCATCTAAAATTTACATTTTCAAATATGTTTTTATTAACTACTTTAAAATACTGTTAAATATGGTTTCAACATTCTATAATGAATTTTCACTAATGTGTAAATTGTTCTTGTCCTAAACTTAAGTTGACATTTTTGACTATATTTTTAACAGTTTTATATATGTTTTAAAATTGAGATTCTTAGAAGTGGTTTTAACATTCTTGAATGCATTATTTGGCCTTTCTAAAGTTGTCATTCTTAAATACGGTTTTAAAATTGAAGAATGTATTTAATCTTTGTTTCTTTACATACATATGTATTTTAAATATTTTGACATTCTTTTTTTCCTTGTTGACGTTATAAAATAGAGTGTAGAATGCATTTTTGAGGTTCTTAAATATTTTTAAGTTAACATTTCTAAACTTCTATATTGTATTATTTTGTGGTATTTTTAAGTGTGGTTTTAACATTCTAGAATGTATTTAATTTAATTGTGTTTTTGACAATCTTAAATATGTTTTGACCTTCCTGGTAAAAAAGTTTCTTAAGTATTTTAACATTTTAATTAACTAAAATGCTTTTTTAAGATTCTAGAATGTATTTTTAACTTATTTTTTTTACATTTTAAAATGTTATATAATAATGGGAACTAAAACTCTTTTGTGGTTTGTTTTATTTTGATTACTTATAGTAAACCAGAGCAAAGGGTTAAACTAGGAAATATTTTCCGCGTTTGGCAAAACAAAAGTTCCGGTCCGCTTTCCGAACTCTTTAAGCAGAAGCAGTCGAGGGCATAATTAAATTATTGTTATGTCTAAACGAAACCGTTGGAATTCAACCAAAAACTTTGCATTTGCACTTTGGCCTAAGCTTTTATTAATTCAAGTTTAATTTATAGTGGTTAAAGTTCCACAATTCAGTCCACATTATTCTGTAAAGATCTTAGTTCACAAAATAATAAATTCGGTAAAACTTTTCCTACCCCGAATGCCGAGAATCGCTTGGTTCGTCTGTGATCCGTGCCCTGGTTGAGGAGAACTTCTGATTTTGGTCGAGGCGGTTTTTTCGGCCTCAGTATCACCTTAGTCTCCTCTCTGATGTCGTCATCGAGCAACTTGCTGTCAGAAGAAACGCTCAGTTGACGTTTTACCCTGTCATGTCCGCCATTCCAATCGGAAACAACGCAGGAACCTGTAAATAAAGAAAAAATAGGATTAATGCAAAACAATTACCTAATTAATTAACAAAAGTCCCCCCTTTATTAGGTGCATTATAAAAAAGAGCATTACGAAATTAATACCTTAACCCAGGAGAGCTCACGAAAGCTTTTTAGTCATTGGGGATTTAAAAATAACCTTTACCCTTTTGTATTTTGTTCGGCTTAAATTTCTGTATTTTAATACGATATATATGGGTAGGTTTTCGTAGGACGACGGTGAGATGGAAATGCACATCTCGCCGTTGTTAACGGGCATGTTTACTTTATAAGACATACAGATTATTGCCTTGATAATACGATAGGATTTATATGGGCAGGTTTAAGTAGGACGACGGTGAGATGGAACTATACATCTCGCCGTTGTTAACGGGCATGTTTACTTTAAAAGACACAGATTGTTGCCTTGATAATAATGGTAATCCAGTAATAAAAACAGTGCAATAATTTAGCTTTCGCATTCTTTAAGTGCCTTTAGCGTCTTTACAAAATGTAACAACTCTAAACCTCTTATATAAGTAAAATCCACCCTCATTCGCCCCCTTTTACGTTAGTATTTTCGAATTGCGATTTTTCCAAGAAGGGGGTCGTTAAAAACGGTGTTTTTTCTGAATAAATTTTAATGAGGTGGCGTTGAACAGGGGTGCCAAATGAGCGGGATGAAAGTGTCGATGCACTTTTAAAGCCGTTTTGATTAAATGAGATTTTGGGATAAAAAAAGCTGGAAGTTATCGATGCGGCGACAATTAAGAAGTGATTTTAATGGAGTTTAAAGTTTTAAGCAAGTTTTTGACTTTTATAGAAATTATTATTCATGGATAGGAATAATTAAGTAGTGAAAGATAAAATTAAATTGAGATATAACGTAGTAAAAAATTTATAAAAATATTAGAAAAATAGAAGTTAGTAGGTAGTAGTTAAAAGTTACTATTTTAACGAAAAATAACCTGCTTTATAGCAATCCATAACATCCTTAGTTAACACAGTAAACAATTTATATATAAAATAATTAATTTTAATCTACTTTTTTAAATTTGACTCATGTCCCAGAGATTTTTTCCGTTGCGTTACGTCCGTCGCGTTACCCATAGAATATTAAAAAAATCATATATATGGCAACTTTTTTGGTACTCACGTGATCAACAAATGATGTTCGGACGTACACATTACCCAGCTGAATTTATTTATTTAATCAGGAAGAAGATATCGGTTGAAACAGGTGCGGGTAACGCGAATGTAATAATTGTTTGCCCGCTAAGTTACTCAAAAAAATAATAAAAATAAGGTAAAAAAAATACTATTTTTCATGTTTATGTTTATTTTAGGGCTCTAAAGCACATTGAGAGTAATTAATGAGTGTAATGTCTTATTATTATTTTTTAAATATGGTTTCACAAAACTTTGTCCACTGCGTTACCGAGTCCACTATGTTGCCTTATGGTAACGCAATGGAATTTAGGGTAACGCAATAGAATTTTTCGACAACAAAGTGGATATTTACCGTCGCTTTTATTAAAAGTAGTTTATGATTAACCAATTTAAAATTATTTGTAATTACAACTCATGATATAGATTACATCCAAGGAAAAAATCCACGCAATATAAAAGTACTCAAAAGGACCTTCACCAGCTTATAGTCAAAGAAAAAGGGTTTCTACAATTTAGAAATCTAAGTTGTTATTCTGCAAGTGAGCACCACTACAAGGGATTTTGTTTATGCATTACTCTACCACCCTATATAGTTTCTTTTTTACGTTATCTGATTAAGTCCTTTGTGTACCCCTGTCCGTTGTGATACCAACGTTTATTTCGTTACTTTTTTTAGCTTTTGTTAAAAAAAATATTTTTATACACCATCACTTGGTAATACGTGTTTATAAATTAGAGTTTAATTCACTAATACAGTGACTAAAAGAAAATATTAATGGTATTGTTTTTTTAACAAAGAATCGAAATGGTTTCTTTTAAAAAGTAACTTAACGAACATACATATTAAAAAAAAGCATACAATTTTTAATAAAAAATAAAATAAAAAATTGGAGTTAAAAGTTTGTGAACTAAGTACATTTTATTTCAAATTATTTTTATAACAACTTTTTTTATTGAATTAAATTTTGGATTTCAAATTGGTAACACAGTGGAGATATATAAAGCTAGCTAAACACATTTTTCAGAAAAAAACGTAAAAAAAATAAAAAGTGCACTGCCTGTCTTAAATGTAAGTAAACAAAACTCTAAACATTTATAAAAATCCAACCAAAATTCAATTTTTTCAAAAAATTTTGATCTTCATTTTCCTGAAAGCGGGTGTTTCTTGAAAATGACACATGAATGAAACTGTTGACAGTTCGGTTCACTTTTTCAACGTACTGGTTACGCGTCCACTCTATTCTTTTGTCCAAGGATTTAATTAAACTAAACACCTTCAAAATCCCAAATATGAACTAAACGTTGTGGCTATATGCAAATATTTGCCTTGATAGATAGTTGCGATTATTTCCAGCCCTTAATCATAAAGGACCGCGCTTTCACCCTTGCATATTTCACGTGCACAAATCCCGTAAACCGAAACACGGGCGGCGGGGCGCATGGGCGGGGCGGGCGCCCCTGCTTTTCTAATTGGCAATATTACTTCCGGCGTGTGACGCCAGACATTTTAAATGCAAATCCCTAGACGGTCCTAGTGAGGTTAATGTAGTGTTATGTATGGTTTTATTTCCTTTTGAATGCTGAATGCTTAATATAACGCACGTGAAGATGTAATAAGGATTAAAGGCTTCATCCACGGGTGGTTGTTGACAACGCAAAAAGGTAGAGTTTCGCCAATTTGTTTGAACAAGTTAAACAAGGTTAAAAAATACCACTAGGTATATGTTATTTTTGTATTAAGGTGAATGTTAAAAGAAATATTGCACAAAAATTAAGTCCGATATACCTTAAAAAACTTCTTACTCGACAAATTTTGTTCAATTGCACAGCTAAATCGCGCACGTTATTTGTGTTTTACGTTGCAAGGAAAAAACTAAAAAACTGGTTTAGTACTCGATTTCATTGATTATTCCTTATATCATTGATTAATAAACTCAACGCTTAAATACTTATATAGTTACGTTAGTGTGTGTATTTTATCTAAAGGATCATGGTGAATTATTGTGTTTTTAATTGTAAATAAAATTCAAGAACTAAATCGTTGCATTTTCATGTTTTGCCAAAGGGTCCAATTCGGTAAGTACATTTGTTGGTGCAGAATTAACTAATAATAACTTAACCTAATATAATTTATATTTATGTTTGGACATATTTAAGAAATTAGTATGGCATGGCAACATAATATTATATATAATACAAAATATAATGGTATTTTACCGTTAAGTGGAGACTTTCTTAAGCATCGCTTTTAATAATGCTAAATGCTGTTTAAATTTAGACGACTTATTTGTTTGATGATTTTTACTGAATTGAAATGTTTACACTTTTCACGTTAATCATTACTAAAATGTGTATTTATTGTATCTTATAGATACAATTTATATTTACAGGTACTGTATAAAAATTATTTCTTCATTCGGATTAACACGGTTTATTGGAAAACCGGTAAAAACTCAACCCAGGATTTCCTCTCGAAATACACCCAACAACACACGGTTTTTTTCCGATATTTTTTAACATTTTCCGGCTTTATTTTCAAAAACACTCGTTTGTAACATAAGCGTTTGACAGCTGATTATTAAAAATTGTACTTTTGTTACGATGATAACAGCCGAGTGGTGGCGCTACTAGCAATACTTCTTTAGCGAATATGATTTAAAGTTATTAAAAACAATAAAGTATTTAGATTACCTAATAATTAAAATTATAATTGACCAGTATAAATTTTGTTAAAAATACGTTTAAGTATTGTTTTAGTATTAATTTAAGGAGTATTAAGATTACCTAATAATTAAAATTATAATTGGCCAGTATAAATTTTGTTAAAAATACTATTAAGTATTGTTTTAGTATTAATTTAAGGAGGTACCTAATAGGGTGGAGCGAAAAAAAATATTTTTTTTCCCTTAGCCTGGGGGTGGAATTTGTAGCCTATAAAAATAGAAAATTTTTGAAAAAAAAAAAATTTTTTTGGCTTGTAATCTTCAAATTTATCTAAAAATAAACAAATTTGATCGTGTTCAACTCGAAATTCGCTCTATTGCCTCAGAAAAGCATGTTACCATTTTGGAATTTTTTTAAAAACAACAATAACGACAACAAAAATTTTTTTAAGTTCATAACTGTTTATTAGCAAGAAAGAGGACACTCCGCAGTTTCCGGAACACTTTTGAAAAAAAATTTTTCGCTCCACCCTAGTACCTAAGGAGGTACATTGCAGGAAAAGGGGTAAGGGGAGTTGCTTTTATACTTAATGCATAAATAGCGATAGGTACCAACTTGCAAAAACAAAATTTATTTTGTCATTTTGTCACATTTAATTTGAAAACAGACAATTTTTTAAATGATTTTATAATTATTTTTTATTTTAATACATAAGGGAGGGTGTTTGACCTAAAGATATCGATTTAAAATTTGTATTGCAATTAAAAGCAAATGTAAACTATTTTTTCTACTTCTATTATGAAATATGACCGTTCTAATATCACTTTTATCTATGGAATGACATATATTCCGTAAAGTGTTACAGAATGAAATATTCTATCTTGATGACAGAATAAACACTCGTGACGACATCTCTGTTTTAATATCTAACAAATTTTAGACCGATCCAACCTCACTTTCTCCCAATTAAATTATTTGTCTATGGTATTTTTTGGAAACGTAGAAAAAGTATAATCTGAAACACGTTTGGATTTGCATATTCCCCTCTCGTGAAACCGTCAAACTCGCCTTCGGCTCGTGTGACAAACTTTTCACTCGAGCGGATATGCCGTATTCCAAACTTGTTACAAAATATTAGAGATGGGAATCGGAAAGTTTCCATTTTAAGGAAACTTTCCGTTTTGGAAAATTTACAATTGGGAATTTATTTTCATTTTGAAAGTTTCTTTTAAGCTACCGGAAACATTCCTTGGAAACTTTCCTTGTTTTTTTCATTTAAATGTCAATTGTTTAACCGCTGATTTTCGTTAAGGCCATGATAAAAGGCCAAGAAACTTTGAATAAGAATTTAATGTGTGTTAATTTAAAGCAGAAGAAGAAGTATAAATAATGTAAATTATGTTACATAACCTCAATGAAGCCGGATTATTCAGCATCATCACAAAAAACTTTTTAAAAAAAAGGTAAACAAAATAAAACAATAAACAAAGTTAAAATCATTCTTAAATTTTTGTTGTTTATTTATAGGCATAGCACAATGCCAAGAGAAAAATCTAGTGTTTGG